AAAATAATTATGAAAGGTTGTGGGTCGGGGTACAGAAAGACTTGAAGAATTGGGAAAAGCTGCAATTATCCCTCATGGGAAGAATTGCAGTGATAAAAATGAATATTCTACCCAAGTTTCTTTTTTTGTTTCAAATGTTACCAATTTTGAAAAATGAGATTAATTTAAATGAGTGGCAGAAGGGTCTCAATAAATTTATTTGGGCAGGGAAAAAACCAAGGGTTAAGTTCAAAATTATGCAAGACTTCCGTGAGAGGGGTGGACTCAAGGTACCAAATTTGAAATTATATTATGATGCGGTGGTTTTAACATTAATTAGTGACTGGGTAAATTTGACAAACTCTGAGATACTTTATCTAGAGGGATGGGATTTACTTTATGGGTGGCATGCCTATTTAATATTTAATAAAAAAATAGATTGGGCTTTTAAATCTCATATTTTAAGAATTTCTTTACTTAGGATTTGGAGAAAATATTATAAAAGTGATTTTAAAGTACCATTATGGGCTATACCTTGGCATGCGATAGAAGGAATAAAAAGAGGGGTTAAAATGGATATGGTGTCTTATAGACAGTTACTTAAATGGGATGGACAAAACTGGCAATTAAAATCACGGGAAGAATTAGCACAAGAAAATTTTACTTATTCTTGGTTCCAATATAGGCAACTACTAGATAGATGGAAGATGGATTGTAAGGTGGGTTTTCTTAGAGAAGATGAAAATCTTATTAAGCAACTGAAGGATCAAAGACAAACCCACATTAAGAGAATTTATGGGGTTTTAGTTGAATTGGACTCAGAAACGGAACTAATTAAAGATTGTATGATTAGATGGGCGCAGAACTTTGGTGAGCCAGTTTCATTGGACACCTGGGAAACTATTTGGGTGAGAAATGTCAAATTTACTCAAGCACAGAATTTAAGGGAGAATTTTTATAAAATGTTTTATAGATGGCACCTTGATCCACAAAAAATGTCTTATATGTACCCTGACGTGCAACCTAAATGCTGGAGATGTGGTTATAAGGAGGCTTCCTATTATCATATTTGGTGGTCATGCAGAGAGATAAAAGCATTTTGGATCAAAATATGGTGGAATATCCAGAGAATTTTTAGAAGGAGGGTAAAATTTACTCCGCAATTATTTTTGTTAGGTATTGTTACAGATTGTGATACAAAGGAGGTTGTATTGATGTTAAATTTGATCACAGCCGCGAGGCTGTTAGTTGGACAATATTGGAAGAAGGAATCTTTGCCTACATTGCAGGAATGGTTTTTTAAAGTAGCTTATCTGGCGGAAATGGCAAAGATTTCGGCTTTCTTAAAGCAACAAACGCAAGAGAAGTTTTTTGCTATCTGGGACAAATGGATAAAATTTATACAATTTAGATTGGGTATACAAAAATATCATATAGCTTTTTCATAAGTTTTATTTTTATATATATTATAGATATCTTTTTTATATATATAAATATAAAGTTTTTAATTTAATTTTTATTTTTTTTTTATTATTTCTTAAGCCTATATTCTGCTCTGGGAAGCTCAGGGGGGGGAAGGGAGGGTTTTTGGGAGGGGTGTGGGGTGGGGTTTTTTTTTTTTTATATGTATTGTTTAATTTTTTTTCTTTTGTATATGTTGTTTTTTGTTCTGTATTGTTCTTGTTTTTCTTGTAAAATTTATAAAACTTTTAATAAAAAAAAAAAATAATAGTCTTTATTTATGTTATTATTCTTTACCTTAGTTAATTTGATTACTAAACACTAAGTGAGTTTGCATCTGTGGTTTCCTCATTACTATTGCTGCACCCACTCATTTCACAAAGTAATTGTCTGTTTCTTGGGGAATAGCAGAGGTTTGACATTATTTCAAGGTTTCAGGGCACTTTTGTTGATGTAGCTGACTTCCACAATTTCCTCATTAACTGCTTTCTGTGTCTCTTGGGCAAAGAACCACATTATTAAATACTGATTTCCTTTCTTTTTAAGGCTGCCAATTTGACCATTTTCAGTCTCACTGGTCTCCTACTATTTAGTGTACCAGTGGTTAATTGATTTCTAATTTTGTATGTTCATCTTCTATGAGGTCCTGTATCAAGGCTATTTGATGGAAGGCCACAGAAATTGGCTCCAACCCTCAAGGCAAAGCTTAGGAGATGTGGCTCAATAACCATCTTTTCCACTCATTGCTGGGAACTTTCTTTTTTTTTAATTTTTTTTATTTTTAATCAACAAGACAAAATAAAACAAAGCAAAACATAACACACACACACACAATATATATACTCCTCCTTTTTTTTTACAGCAATTGCGTAACGGTAATCTATTATTTACATTTCCCCCTTATTCTTCTTTAGAATATTTGTCCTTATAGCCCCGTTATTTCTTATTTACATTTTTCTTCCTTCATGTTCTACTTCTTACTAAGAATAATTTATATTATTATTATTATACATTATTATATACATATTTTCACTTTTGACCTTTCCATATTTATTCTCCTCTATTATTTCTAGTCTCCAACCAGACATACAACTTGTTCCATACTATATAATACTCTGTGTCTTCCTTTTCTTTTATCTCTTTTGTTAATTTGTCCATCTCAGCACAGTCCAGGATTTTTCTTATTGCTTCTTCCTCTGATGGTATATTCTCATTTTTCTAGCACTGTGCATATGCTATTCTTGCTGCCGTTATTATATGTAAAATTAAGTACCATATTTCTTTACTATATTTTCTATTTAAAATACCCAACAAAAAGATCTCTGGTTTCCAGTCTACGGGTTGGTCTATTATTTCTTGGATCCATTTTCTTATTGTAGACCAGTATTGTTTTGCAACTGGGCATGTCCACCATAGATGATAATATGTTCCATGTACTTTTTTACATTTCCAGCATGTTGGTGGATTATTCTGGAACATCTTGGCAAGCTTTGCTGGTGGAAGATGCCATCAGTAAAACATCTTCAACTGGTTTTCCTTGAATGACGCCGACATAGTCAATTTTATATTTATTTCCCATATTTTTCCCATTTCTCCAATTCTATATTATATCTGAAATTTTTTGCCGATCTAATCATTGTGTCTTTGACAACCTCGTCTTCCATTTTATATCTCAATAGGTATTTGTATAAATTGCTAATTAATTTTATTTCTGTTCCATGTATAATTTTACATTGCCGGGAACTTTCAATCCATTGCTCACCAACAACCAGGCTCAATAATTGACTCCCTGAGGGACCCTCCAAGTATGCTTTGTCACTGCAGCAATTCTTAACATTACTTAACATTTTCTGTATTATTTTTCTGCGTCTAACACAGAAATTGTTAAATCTTTCAGTAGTTTTTTTTCTATTCTTCTTCTCATTCTTCACTCTAAGGATCCTTTCTCAGAGCAATTGTATTGCAGATTGGAAGAAGAAAAAAAGATAGAAGAGAAAAATATGTTGAAAAATAGGCTAATGTTGAAAAATCATATTTAGTTTGTGAAACTAGGATGATTTTATATATAACTAAATCTGAGTATTTTGTTTTGTGAAAACAGATTTTAAGTTACTGTGTTATTCAGGGTATGGGAAAATGCTTGTGCTTCCTTATGAAATCATCTCTAAATCTCTACAGCATCCATGGCAACTGGATGCGACACCTCAGAACTTACAGAATAACCGAGTTGGAAAGGACCTTCTAATCCAATCCCATGCTCAAGCCGGAAACCCTACACCATTCCAGACAAATGGCTTTCCAAATTATTCTTTAAACCTCCAGTGATGGAGCACCCAAAACTTCTGGAGCCAAACTCTCGCAGTTAATGCTATTGAGCCACATATCACCTATTCTATACCTGTGCATTCATTTTTTCTTGCCTAAGTGTAAAGCCATATTGTTCTCACCACTGAAATTTAGAGATAAGTAATAAAAAATATGACCCCCATGAGGTTCTTTGTAGCTGAAGCAACAGGAAGCATTCAATGTAACCAACACTCACAGCTTTTGGAATCCAGCTCTCCTTCTCAATTTCAGTTAATCTTCTGTGTCCCAAAGACTAGAACACTGGGCACTATCTAACAAAATGAAATTCAATGGTGAAAAAAGCAAGGTTCTACATTTAGGCAAGAAAAACCAAATGTACAGGTATAGTATAGGGGGTACCTAGCTCAATAATAGTAACTGTGAGAGGGACCTCGGAATCTAGTGGACAATCACTTAAATATGAGCCAGCAGTGTGCTGCAGCTGCCAAAAAGGCCAACACAGTGCTAGGCTGCATTAAAAGAGGGATAGAATCAAGACCACGTGAAGTGTTAATACCATTTTATAATGCCTTGGTAAGGCCACACTTGGAATACTGCATCCAGTTTTGGCACCGCAATGTAAAAAAGACGTTGAGATTCTAGAAAGAGTATAGAGAAGAGCAACAAAGATGATTAGGGGACTGGAGGCTAAAGCATATAAGGAAAGACTGCTGGAATTGGGTATGTCTAGTTTAATGAAGACAAGGACGAGCGGGGACATGATAGACCCACCAAGAAGCAGAGCAGCTGTTTTCCTAAAACTCACCCATAAAAATGTGTCACCCATGATAGCAGTGCCAACCCCAGATTTCTACCACTTGGTTCTAAGGGCTCTTCCCAAACTCCAGCCATTAGTGAACATGGCCAAGCACTATCATCCTGGACTGTAGAGTCTGGGCAGGAATTCAGTAAGGAATTTTCTTTGCCCCATTAGGACACTGCAAATCCTGAGCCTCCAATCTTTTATAACCATAGCAGGTTAGATGTTCAACTAAGTCTGCTGTTCTTCTAAAGGCTTTTGTAACAGCTTACAAACAGGAGTGTTTCAATACAAGGAAGATGCACCATTGCAAAAACTATTTTGCAATAGTTCACTGAAGTGATATGATGCAACCATTACAACTCCATAAATAGAGAGCCATGTCTGTCCCAGGAGTAAGGTTTGATCCAGAACCAGTCTCAGCATGAAGATCCTTTACCTGCTGTTTGCATTTCTTTTCCTTGCATTCCTGTCTGAACCAGGTAAGAAACAAAATTACTGATAATTTAGAAAGGATTGGTAACTCACTCCTTTTTAAACAAGTGTGATCATCACTGAAAGCAGGATAATCTTCAACATGTTTTTGTTTTACTTTACAGATATATCTTTGAACAGTGTAGACTCCAAACATTTGAAAAATATGCCACTGATTTTTCTTTTGATTCACAATTCTTGAAATAACTTTATTGGGGTTTTTGTTATTGTAGCTTTTTTGTTGATTTGCTTCACTTTAGTATTGGTTTACCAAATTCTCAACCAAATGTGTTCTATTTGAATAAGGAGGCACAATGGAGAAACAGTTTGATCTAGTGATTAGAGCAAAACACTACAATTCTGGATACTGAATTCTAGTCCCACCTTGGGCCTGAAAGCTGACTGAGTGAATTTGGACCAATCTCTCTCTCTCTCCCCTCCCTCCCTCCCTCCCTCCCCCCTCTCTCTCCAAACCTCTTGATGGCATTGCTGTTATGGAGAGAAAAGGAGGAGGAAGGATTATTAGATACATTGAGTTATTTTTAAAAAATAAAAATGGGAAAAATAAAAGATATTAATGATCTAGTGAATATATTTGTACTTAATTGGGGAAAAGAGAAGAAATTGCAGCAAAATATCATAAATGCACAGCATTTCAAGAGCAGAAAAGAGCAGTGATAGAAACATTAAGAGAAGAGGGAGAAAGCCAAAGGAAAACCAGCTCCTGAAGTTTAAAGGAAGTTAAACCTTCTCACTCAAGGTTTTCATCCAAAACACACAATGCAACTGGCCACTGTAACTCAGCAAGGATCCATGGCAATAGTGGAGAGAAATATATCATAGCAAGGTCTATTCTTCATGTGAACCAGATTATTTCTTCCCTCATACATTAATAGATGCAGACTTACCAGCTAATTCATCTCTAATCAGACTTCAAACCTGGGTTAATAGCTGATTTATTTGAGCTGCTGCAGGAGATCAGCAGAGATGGATCTCTGTGGTCAGAGAAAACTTGCTGTAGTCCTAGGAATCCTGCAATTCTTGGAAGGATGTTTCCATTCCCACCTTGGATGAATGGTTACAAAAGCTGATGGAGTTAGCAGAGTTGGCTAAACTGACTATTTTGATAAAAGAAAAGAATATAAGTACTTTTGTTTCTACTTGGAAACTGCTTCTGGACTTTCTGCTTGAGGTGGAAATAATGATACTATGATTTTGGGGTGTACTGATTAGACTGACTTGTTGATAGAGAAATGGCTAGTTCATACTACTACAGAAATGTAAAAAATTTAGATTCAATTTTAATGCCTTATTTTACTGCAACAGAGGGAATCAGAAGTCAACGCCTTTTGTTTCTCCCCCTCCCCTTTCCACATTTTCCTTTTTCCTCTTTCCCTATTGCTCTTCCTTACTATTTGTTTTTTATTTTCATATTTTTATGTTATAAATGAATAAAATTATAAATTGATAAAGGAATCCTGCAATTCTGTAGAAGAAGGTAATGTCTTGGAATGAAAAATGTATTTAAATATTAAGGAATCTTTACTCATAATTTACCTGTCTCCTCTTTTTCTTTTCATAGGAAATGCCCACAGCCAGTGTGAGAAGCTGAAAGGAATCTGCTCTCTCACTGAGTGTATTAAGGGCACTGACCTTGGGAAGCAGGGCTGTGCTTCGGGATCGAGATGCTGTAAACGGTAAGAAAACTCTCCTCTAATAAAGATACTACAGATATAATACATAATGAGATTCTAATGCCTGATATAATTTGCATTCACAAAGCTTTGCAAAGCAAAGAACTTACTTTAAACTCACTTTGATCAACTTATTATTTTTTCTCATTTGTATAGCTTGTAATGCCATCTCCATCTATGACCATGGATACCTTCAGGATACCTGCAAGATATGGCCAATGACCTGAGATTACCGCCTGCTGTCGATTTATCTTTCTTTATGTAAATCAAATTGCTACCCATCAAATTCTAAAACATTTATGCATTGAAGTAAAATTTGAAATCTTGAAATAAAGCTAAATGAACATTGCAGATGTTGTGCAATTTCTTTAAAAAGTACTTGGGAGCAGTATATTCCTGTGACTACTGGTATATGAGAGAGAGAGTGGGGGTGTTGCCTGCTCTTCAACCACATATTATGCTATAATTTCACACAGTCTCATTCTTCCCTTTCGGTTTATTTATTTATTGGAGCAATTACTTTGCCACTGATGTCTTCCAGCTAATGTAGTTGCTTGGGCAGAAATAGTATACAATCAAATTTAAGCTATTCATTAAGATCTTGGAAAAGAGCAGGAAAAAAATTCTTAAGATTATTTTTTCTCAGTTTAAATACCATTGGATACAACTTAGAATAAGAATGACTTTGTCATATCAGCACAGTCTAGATCTTAATAAAGGAAATGAAGATGTAGCAATAGGAATAGGAAAGCAATAGGAAATCCGCAAGAGACAGGATCCTTTCCTGGCCCATTCTTTTTGTTAAATAGACAGACCAACAGATGTTATTATATTGATTTTAGGTACCATCTAAACAAATAGACTACACAATAAAACCACATTATCAGAGGGTGAGCCACCTAGGACCTGATGCACACAAACACACACAGCCAACATGTGAGGGATACTATTGTGGACACTATTATACCTATGTTAATAAAGGGGTGTGATCTAACAATGTACACAGGTGAAAACATAATTTGCACAACCAGTATCCATACAAGCCTGAACCCATTTATTTCCCCTCTCAACTTTCATTCACACACTTTCTATTTCTTTTTTATTACAATGTCTAAATTTATAAGGGGATGTAAATATTTAACTAGTGGCATAAATCATCCTATAAAATGTTAAAATCTCAGCTATGAATCAGGCTTCACTGAAAAAAATTATTAAAATACAAATAGTAATTTCCAGGACCAATAGTTTACATATATTCATTCTTTATTAGCCTTTTAATGCAGCATTTTTTACAACATAGACAGGGTACATGTAACACAGAAATTAGCTAGATTTCCCTTTTCCGCTTTTATCCTCATCCCTCATGTTTAGGGTTCTTTCTCAAATCAACTCTATCACAGCATGGAGTTCAAAGGAGGTGGGATAGCCTAATATACCTCGACATGTTTTTTCCATCTCCTTTAGTGGTTTTCATTCATTTGGATAAAAGAGTCTGTGTGGAATTCCTGTAACTACTCAATATTTCTGATGATTCAGGTAACCAAGTCTGTTGCTATAACAAGTAAATACGTACTTCCCTCAGCTGGAAGCCCACAATTATGTTTCAGGTAAATGTTGAAATATTTAATATGGATCTAACATTAGGTGCATAATGGCATCATAATATGGTCATAATATGGTGAATATTATTGTATTCTTTACCTTATTTCATTTTATGTCAAGGTTCTAGTTAAAAAGCCCAACAAATTAAATCCACCACATTGTGATCTCTAATGTAAAGCTTTAGTAGGCATAGCATATCAGCACAGTAGAAAGAATACCAGCTATGGCAATATGGCAGGAAAAAGTTAACTAAAAGCATAAAACCTTCCCTCCCCTCTCACATTGTTTGAGAAGAAACTTCAATTTGCCAAAACATCTCTTCAATGACCTTGGCTCTCACACTGATAGCAACCACCTGTGCATACTAAACCTCCCCCCCCCTCACTGTAGGCAAGCTAGAAGCATCATGGCAGTTCTGAAGCAAGGGATCTTCATAGCTTGAAACTTTATTGTTAAACAACATATCAGTTTGTCCCCAGATGTCCTCATTTCCCTCTCTGCACATACAGTACTCATTACACAAGATAATTGACCATTTCTGGGGTAATACCAGGAGCTCAACATTATTTCTAGACTTCAATGCACTTTTAGAAATACAGCTGACCTCAGCCTGCTCCCTGTGGTTCTTGAGCAAAGAACTACATTACTAATAATTGACTTTCTTTCCAGAGCGGCTAGTTTTGCCATTTGTAGTCTCACTGACCCACTAATATTCACTTCATCTGAGGGCAAGGTTGTCAGGGGAGAGTCCACAGAAATGGGCTCCACCCTGAAGGCAAAGAGCCCTTTCTAACTCCAATTCTGTCACTGGCAGGGAGAAGAAAGGAGGTGTGGGTCTAGTAAACCCTGAAATGTTCTCCTATCTTCTCTAGCTCTTCTTATTCAGCTGAATAAAAGAGTCCAATGGAAGACTGAAAAATTCCTATACCTACTGGCTCTTCCTGATGATCCAAAGAACTAAGCCTGTTCTACTGTACATAAATACATACTTCCCCCACGTGACAGCCCATAATTATGTTCCAGGATAATATTGAGTAGCCGTATTTAGTTTGCATCTAAGATGATGTTGACTGCATAACTAACACATAATACTGTGAAGACAGGCATTATGTTGTAAGGTCACTAGGAATATGGGGCAATGTCTTGTGTTTCACTTTGAAATTATCTCTCGGACTCTATAAAATCCATGGCAGGTGACACTTCAGTCCTATCCGAATTGAGATAAAATGAGGGACCTCCGCCTAAGGGGCCTTTTCACACGAAGAGAAAGCCACAAAACCAGCATTAACCTTAACCCTAACCCACTGCTATTTACATTAAGAAGGGGATTTTAAACCAACACAAGAGTATTTTGAGAGAAAATATTTCACTCCTTAAGAAAAGTATCTCTTCTTATAGCAGAAGGGAACATTTGAGCAATTGCAAGATAGATTTTTTTTTTATTTTACTAATGGAACTCTCTAATCTGGGATAACCACTAGTCAACTGTTAGCTGCTCACTTCTTTCTCCTGCTTCTGATCTCATAGACCATGCACCATAGAATAATAGAGTGGAAAGGGACCTTGGAGGTCTTCTAGTCCAACCCCTTGCTCAGGCAGGAAAACCTATACCTTTTCAGACAAATGATTATCCAATCTCTTTTGAGAGGCTTTAGTGATGGAACACCCACAACTTCTGGTGGCAAGCTATTCCATTGGCTGATTGCTGTCATTGTTAGGAAATTTCTTCTTACTTCTAGGTTGATTTTCTGCTTGGTTAGTTTTCAACCATTGCTTCTTGTCTTGCATTCAGGTGCTTTGGAAAATAGTTTGACCCTTTCATCTTTGTAGGAGTAATACTCCCTCAAATATTGGAGTATTACTATCATGTTACCCCTAACCCTTCTTTTCAGTAGACTATACCCAATTTGTGTAACTTCCTTCATACGTGTTAGCCTCTAGCCCCCTAATCATTTTTATCTTCTCTGTATCCTTTCCATTTTTTATAATGGGGTGACCAGAGTTGGATGCAGTATTTCAAGTGTGGACTTACCAAGGCATAATAAAGTGATTCTAGAACTTTGCATGATCTTGATTCTATATCTTTATTGATGCAGCTTATGATAGCATTGGCTTTTTTGGCTGTTGCTACGCAGTATTGGCTCATATTTAAGTAACTGTCCACTAGGACAATCTGTGAACAGATCTGCGAACATCTGTTGTTGTTGTTAACTGCGAAGTCGTGTCCGACCCATCGCGACCCCATGGACAATGTTCCTCCAGGTCTTCCTGTCCTCTACCATCTTCTGGAGTCCATTTAAGTTCACACCTACTGCTTCAGTGACTCCATCCATCCATCTCATTCTCTGTCGTCCCCTTCTTCTATTGCCCTCAATCTTTCCCAGCATTAGGCTCTTCTCCAGTGAATCCTTCCTTCTCATTAGGTGGCCAAAGTACTTGAGTTTCAACTTCAGGATCTGGCCTTCTAAAGAGCAGTCGGGGTTGATCTCTTCTAGGACTGACAGGTTTGAACGCCTTGCAGTCCAAGGGACTCGCAGGAGTCTTCTCCAGCACCATAGTTCAAAGGCCTCAATTCTTTGTCACTCAGCCTTTCTTATGGTCCAACTTTCACATCCATACATTGCAACTGGGAAAACCATGGCCTTGACTATATGCATTTTTGTTGGCAGGGTGATGTCTCTGCTTTTTAGTATGCTGTCTAGATTTGCCATAGCTGTCCTCCCCAGGAGCAAGCATCTTTTAATTTCTTGGCTGCAGTCCCCACCTGAGGTGATCTTGGAGCCCAGAAAAATAAAATCTGTCACTACCTCCATTTCTTCCCATCTATTTGCCAGGAATTGAGAGGGCTGGATGCCATGATTTTGGTTTTCTTAATGTTGAGTTTCAAGCCAACTTTTGCACTCTCCTTCTTCACCCGCATCAAGAGGCTCTTTAGTTCCTCTTCACTTTCTGCCATTAGAGTGGTATCATCTGCATATCTTAGGTTGTTGATGTTTGTATGGGTGCTCCCATAGTACATCATTTATCAACTGCATAAATACTGTGGGTGCTCCTTGTAACCCCAAAGGTAGAACCCGAAATTGGTAATATCCTAAGGGGCAGTTGAAAGCTGCCTTCCATTCGTACCCCCTTTTTATACTGATCCAGTAATAGGCTTCTCTCAAATCTAGCTTTGAGAAGATTTTCCCTTTTGATAGATGGGAAAGCATCTCTTTCATGATGGGAAGAGGGTATAGATTGCTTTCGCTCACTGCGTTCAAAGGTCTATAGTCCACACAGAGGCAAAGAGTCCCATCTTTCTTTTCTCAGAACAGTACAGGGGCGACTATTTTTGGCTTTGCCGGCTGAATGAAACCCCTTTCTAAATTTTTGTCTATGAATTTCTGCATCTCTTCCAATTCTTGCGGGCTCATGGAATACAATTTGAGTTTGGGGAGTTTCACACCCTGGGTCTGCTGGCTCAGTTCCACCTTCATCTCTCCCTTCTGTGGAGCCTAGGCTAATGTTGCCACAGAATGGGTCAGTTTTCTCTCCTCTCATGGAATCAAAGACTATTTTCATCATGTCGATCACTTGTTCCAGCATTCGGCTGGAGTGCAGCGACTGGTGCTTCTTGTCTTCACTAAACTGGAGAGACCTCTCCGTCTCAGCTTTCCAATCTGGTTGATGACTGCCTTGTCTGAGTGTCACCTTCCTGGCTTT